GCCTGTTTGTCTACCGGGTTTTTGAAATCCTTGAAACAACTGTATTTCTTCAGCATTGTACTGAAACAGAAATCTGGCATGTTAATCGTAAAACACCTATAAGAGATGGAATGGCTGGTTAAAATTCTTCCGAAGTCAACTTTGACCAGGGACAAACGACTCTTTAATAAACCACTGAGGGTTAACAACATGCAAAAAGCATTTAATTTCAAAGCCAGCTGAGTTTACATGTTAATTAAATATTTGCATGACAAGGTAAGAATGTAAACAAAGGGCAGGGCTGAAAATAAAAGCCCTCATAGCTACAATATCAGCCCAATTCTAAAGGAGGATCTTGAACCACATTTACCACCTAAGAATATTTAATTCTAATATTGCAAGATAGCGTAGTTATAGGTATTTGAAATTTAATACGAATGTGTTTTGAACATAAACATTATCTTTTATGATTGTTGAAGGAATTCTGCCCTCCACACTTTCTAACATCGATGTGAACCTGAGGAAAATGTTAACTAGGAATCTTCACGCACCCAGTCAGTGGTCCTTTGATGAAAGGTAAGTCAAGGTAAGTCAATCTACCACCTCTTGGTTCCACTCTGAAGTATTAGTTATTCCTGTGACTTTTAAGATAAGACATGCTTTTCTCCTTACCAAAAAGTGATGGTAACTGTTAGTTTCTAAAGAATTCAAAAAAGAAGCAGGTTCCCGCCCATCCCTTAAATCAGGCTGGACTGGGAGCTGACAGGCAAAGATCATCAGCTCCGTAAGTCAGTTTATTTGAGAGTATTACAAGAAGTACACAGAGCACACATCTGGGTTATAAAAGCCCTTTTATAAAGCCATTTTTAAACAAAACAAAAAAAGTTTACAAAAGAAAAAAAGGTACAGAAAAAAGAATAACTTGCTTCGTATGTCCCAAAAAAAGGAAAAAATAAAGGGGACAATGCCAACATGCTCAACAATAAAGGGTTTTCTTATTTTTTAATACAAAACACAAGCAAAGGATACACATACTTAAAACAGAGCTCAGGAGCAGACACGCAGTCCTGGAAACCCTTCAATAAAAGCAAGAGTTTGTTTTTTCTTTGTCTATGCAGATACATACAGAGACTGGGATATGTAAAAATTAAGTATCACAAAAGACCATCACACAAGTCTACCAATGCATGTTGCATCTAGAATTCACGAACATGGTCAACAAAATCATGTTCACTTTAACCCCATTTCATTTAAATTAAAAAAAAAAAAAAAAACCTTTTAAATAAAGTGGTTACATTCAAACTTTAACTTCCTTAGTACCATGCTGCAGACTTCAGCACTGTTAAGGTATTGCAGGAACGCCCAACCCTCTGGTGTCTGATCAAGTATCTAGCAACATCTCAGTATTAAGAAAGGGATGCCCCGGTCTCAGCCCATGGATTTACAATTAAATAATACATTTAAGCAGGTTCCTCTTTTACACTTCCTGCTCATAATGTAAGAGATTAAGGACTAAAATTAAGGAAGACTGGGAATTTTAGAGCTGGCAAAATGAAGTCTGAAAAATGAATCAAGGCAAACAATTACCGAGAACTTGGCTGCTGCTTAACCTGGCAAGTCTTTCCTTAAATGCAGGAATTAGATGTATAAGATTTGCTGCAACATGTTCATGGTAAACAAACTAAGTAGAGCTCTTATTTACAAATCTTGTAACAAATACTTCTGGAGGAAAAAAAGAGAATTCACTAATTTCCAGAAGACAAAAGTTTAATTGCCAGACATATACACACACTCACACACACACCCACACAATACTTCAGGGGTTTTTATACATGTTATTTAGAGCATAAGCTGAGTATTATACCCCTATACCCCACTGAAAAAAAGAACAAAAAACCCCCCAATTTTGCCCTCCCCCCATAAATCTAGAAAACCCTCCCTTCACCCCTGATGTACAAAGTGTCTGCACAATGGTGGAATTCCACCAGCCACACGAAGCATGCTCAAGCAGATGTCACCAGTTCAGTCACTCCATTGGCATGGCAACAGGCAGGTTTACGGGACTTTTCCCAATAGTGGTTAATACACAGTCAGCACCACTGTGGATTTTGTGAATTAGGCTTTGAAAAAAAAATGTAACTTAGAGATTTGGGGTTCAAAAACAGTCATTTTGTATCAAGTTTATCCCAAGACAAAGGGAAAATGGGTTGCAGACTGAAACCTGGCTATAGATAACTTGATGTTCTAATATTCAAACAATAACCCTCCCTTTCCAAATAAATCCAGCTCCAAGTACAGAGAAAAGGACAGTTTTCTAACCTCAAGAGCAACCAGCTTATTAGATTTTCCCTATCCCTTGGCAGAGAATGTGTATTACTAGTTGTGTTTAAGAATCTAAGTCTGAATGCCATAAAGACCAGAGCCCAGGTTTCTTCCTTTCCAAACTCTTGAGGTGATCATTTCTGCTTCTCAGTGTAGCTACTGGTGATGCCGGCACAGAAAGAACTGTTCAAATTGAAACTCTAATTTTTTGCAACAGTGCCAATGGCCACATGATCTTTTATAAAGTTTTCCCACTGCTCCAGGTATTAGCTTTTGCTCTTGCTCTTCTAACATTCTCAGAGCATCTCCTAAACTGGTTTGTTTAAAGAAAAGCACAATTCCCTTTCTTCAGCCAGTATTCCAAAATCCACTTGTTACTTGAATGGTCATGGATAAAGAGGAAAAAAAAACTTTTAAGTATCAAGTTCAGTCGAGCTGATCATATCCCTAAGTGTCAAAACTTTACTGCATTATGACCTCAAATTCCACTCTTGATTAGTTTACCTGTAAGAAAATGCTATTTGAACCAGTACCAAGAATAAGTATTGACTTGAGGATTGAACTTGGGGCAAACCAGTTATTGTGGAAGAAAATTCATTATCAAAGCTCCTTCATGGGAAATCAACTACTATTCTTCCAGATTAAAAGACTTCCACCTCCTCCCTCCCTGAGGGAGGACACACCCATTAACTTTCCTTTATGGACTCAATAGGGAGTAAGAGATATGAAAGGGAGAGATGTTTTTAGAAAGCAAGATAAATCTATCATTACTGAAATTAGAATGTATCCTTTGGGCCCACTCCATTGACTCTAATCTGTGGTGGGGAGGACTAAAAGCAGCAGCAAGTTACAGACAGATTTAATAAGATGTAAGCTACCCATGTCTAGTTCTGTGCTGGGGAGGGAAGTAAAGAAAAAAATCTTAAGAACCAGAATGTAGTGTCAGCACAGCTGCCAAAATCCATGTTCCAGAAGTAAACCTAACAGAGTTAACAAAGAGAATTCATTAACACAAACAAGCACCCTCAAAGTTAAATGTCCCACTTCCTGAGCACTGCAAAACAAAACACTGAATGCTATTGCCATGTCACCATAGGCACACTAGAGAAAAAGAGGGAGTTTAGTCAAGGGTGGTGTCAATGGCCGGTCACTATCAGCTTACAGCTTGTAACCTGTCCTGACATCGCTATCAAGCCTGACTATTGAGCACCTGTTTCCAGTTGAGACACCACAGCTGCCCTCCTATTTGCATGCATGATTTGAGGGGAAGACTAGAGTACTTTAGATCATTAGTAAAAAGTGGAGAAAACAAAGGTCATTCAAGCCTGTCACACTTGGGGACACAGATCCTTTTGTCCAGTCTACTAGAAATATATAATACATTTTTTTAATCTCATGAATTAATTTTTAAAAAAAGAATCCCAAACAAAAAGCCCAACCAAATGCACACAAGTAACCTAGAAGACAGGATTACCTCTAAAGTATGTGCGTATATCACAGAGATGTTAGTGCAGATTAATATATTAAAGAGACTATATTACATAAAATACCGGGGCCTAAAGTTTTAAAAGAACCCCCCCCCCCAATTTCCACAAAACATAATCTAAGAAAAGCCCAAATATTACTAGGAATGTAAGACTTAAAGTTATAAACCCCTAAAAATAGAAGTGCATGGTGGAAAACACTGATAGGTCTCTTACTATATGGACACGAACCTTGTTAAAATTGGATACCTGAACAAACCCGCTAAAGCAAACAGAATAATCTTTAACACCCTCATTACCAAGTTCACAACAATAAAGTTGACCATATGAAAGATAACAATCCAGCTGCTACTTATGCTCAAACTTTGCATTTTTGGCCAAGTACTAAAATCTTCAAATTCATTCAACACATAGTGCAATAGTGAAATTACTTTGCCACTGGGTGTTAAAAAAAAAAAAAATCAGAGTAAGAATATTCCTTAAAGTGTCTTAAAAATCAGATTAAAAATATTCCTTAAACAACCTTTTGTTCTAGGAACATCTGCAAGAAAGCCATGTTGTCTGAGAAAAATGTTTTAAATAAAAGAAAGAAAACCACGTACCTAAGATATTAAGGAAGCAAATCTAGATAAAGGCAGGTTAAATTTCACTGATCACTGATTTTTCAACTTCTTAGCACACGAAGGCCCCCGTGACCCTTGCTCCCAGAATCTCATGGTATCAGGATGTGAGGATTAAACTTACAGATCCTGACTGCTATCATAAGGCATGTAAAGTCTGTTATCAACTGCACATAGGCCTCCTGAATGTATGTTTTTGGCCCTGCTGAATCCCTTAAAATCCTACTTTAAGCAACATGAGCAGTAAGCAGGGGCACCAGCAAAAAAACAAAAGCAATTAATAGTGTCAGAGCAGCATTTAACATATTCCTATCAAGCACAAGATGTGGAGATAGAGCCAGGAGAAATCATGTCCTATGACAGGGCTGGAAGGCCTTGGGGGAGGAGTATAGTAGGATCCCACGAGAAGCAGGAAGCCAAGAGAAGTACTTTATACCACGCTTCTATGAAGAAGTGTGAAGACAGGTGAATGAGAAGGAAAATGTTCTATCCCCAAATAAAAACTAAGCATGAGTCATGAGATCTGAACGTACATTTGTGGTATTAAAGGAATTTCAACTGTTTTCATAAAGGAAAAATCTCAAGCCTTTGTGAACGAGTTTCACATTAACTGGTACTTTATTTGCTTAAAACCTAAAACATTGTTAGTTTGAGAAGAAATCCACTGTGATGTATAACTATTGCCATTTTCTAGCTTTTTTTTTTTTTTTTAAATCCTTGGTAAAATTTTATCCAAGAAGAATAGATACACATATATTTTAGAACATGAATCATTAGAGAATGAAATATGAAATCAAGAGTGATTTAAGTTTTGGTGGCCCTTGTTTTTTTTTTTTCCTTTTTTCTTATTTTAAGTTTCTTAAAGATAAAAGGATCACTGGCTCTGAGTCTCTTTGAGATAATAAGTGAAGAAAAAACACACCCTCAATCAGGGTTAGGTAACCCCATTCCCTGCCCTGTCCCCAAGATAAAAAATATGAATACTTTTAGTAACAATTCAGAATCCATTTTTATCTCCTACCTGCCTTATGAGTGGAAGTTTAAAGTCATGATTTTTTTAGACATCTGTACTTGAGTATAGATATATAAACTTGTATTAGATGACAATTGATTTTTTTAAAAGTCCAAGTAGAGAAAGAAGTAATCATTTTTAACTAAAACCCTTGTTTTCTGATTACTGCTCAACTTGCTACCATTTACCAAAAAGCAACATTTCCATAGTGTTCATATCAAATCTTATTGCTTTACAACTGTGGTAATACCTTCCATTAAAAAAAAAAAAAGATGAAGCAGTTGATCCAGTGATTAATTTGACATGGCTTTCATTGGAAAGGGGGGGGAATAGAGGGTGGTGGCAAAGAGAAGACCAATAAACAAAAAGGTAAATTAAACATACAATGGTTTTCATAAAAAAAAAAAAAAGAGAGAGAGAGAGAGAGAGAATATGTTATTTTCGACAACAAAAAAGCATTGAAAGCCCACGAGTCAAGCCATAGCCAAAACCATGTTCTACCTTAAGTAGGTTTTCTTTTTTCCCCTTTTTTTTTTCTTTTTTTTTTTTTAAATAAAATCTCTCCCCAAACCATCATCACTTTTAATCCTCCCCCGATGGGGCTTCATCTTCAGACCCTTCATCCCCGGACTTCTCAGGTGGAGGGCTTGAGCATGTTTTCTTTCCTGGAGGGCTTTCAGGCTCCTCGTCGTCATCTTTGGGAGAAGGAGTCTTTTCCTTTGACCCCTTCGAAGCTGTGGGGCGACCAACTTTCCCTTTGCCTTTGACAGGACTTGGCGTCACTGAGGGAAGAAAAATACCAATTTGGGAAAAGGAAAAGAAAATGTCTTTAATAAAAATCAGCTACGAAAAAAGAAATCTGTAAGAATAAAATCTATAAAGACAAAACCCCAAAACTTACTAAAAATCAAGGTGGGTACTGGTTTCCAAACACTTTTTACCAGTGCTGTAATGCTGTTAGCAGTGATGCTTATAATGAAGCAACGAGATGCCACAGAAACTTCACATAATCCTTAGTGGTTGTGAAATTAAAAACTGTTTGCTTAAAAAGTGGGTCGAGAAGAAAGGATACGACAATCTGAGTAGATAGATATTGCAGCCATCAAATAATTTTGGTATTCGCAGGACTCCCATTAGTAAGAAGTGATGAGTAGAAGGTTGAAAAATCACCAGTTCTATTTGCCAGAATAAAATAAAGCAAATCGAGCACTCTGATTTAATGACAAATTAGCTCTGACTAAGAGAATATCCAGCAGAAACCACAGGGCTCAAGGAAAATGAATGCAGGCTGTGAAGTATGGTTTTATTCTGCTAGCACAGAGGATGGGATCAGAACACAGAACTTAAATGTACTAAGTGAAGTATACATTTCCACAATTTCAAGTATGCACTAGCTGCTAGGATTGGGATCTTGGTGGAAAAACACGGCAGTAATAGCTATGTTGATGCATTGTTTCTAACACTGTGCCTGACACAAACTGATCATTCCCAAAGCTTGCTTATGTATAAGAACAGGGCTAAGCCACCAGACTCTTGGGAAGGCCTGGTGTTCTCATTAATAAATAAATGATATCTCCAGGTGTAGAAGACAGGATCTTTTCAGAATTCGTTTATCCTGATAAACGATGTGGCCAGTGCCAAGCCCTAATGAAGAATTTCTATAGAAAAAGTTTATTGGTCCTTGAAATGTTTTAAAGCAGTAATTTCAATTCTGAAGAGCTCACCTGTAGCCTTTAGCCTGGGTTTGGGCATTTTCTTTTCTTTTCTCTCAGGTTTGGACTTCTTAACCATCTTTTTGTTTTTCTTTTTTGAACTGCCATAGTCACTATCATCATCATCTTCCATTAGAAAATCTTCATCGCTGCCGGAATCTTCTGAGAGGAAAGAAGAATTTCAACATCCAACTTAATGTCTATATCCTTCTAAGTGAACAAAGGGAGAGAGTGCTAAGAATGACTGGAGGATGGGATTTGGGAGTCAACATACTCTTGGATTCTATTTGCAGCTGTACTACCAGTTTGGTTGGAGTTGTCACTGGCCCCACCTGTAAAATGGGTTTAGTATGCTCATGAGGGTTACATCGCTGACTTGTTTGAAGAATAGGTAGAAAACAGGGAGAAATAAAACTTAATCTGAATACAAATTGAAGCCATCAAATAACTTTTGGTAGTTATATCATTCCTATATAGCAGTGGTCCCCAATCTTTTTGGCACCAGGGACTGGTGTTCCTATGAGAATCTAATGCCTGATCATCTGAGGGGAGCTGAAGCGGTGAAGCTAGCACTGGGGAGCGGCTGCAAATACAGATGAAGCTTCACTCACTTGCTCGCTCACTGCTCACCTCCTGCTGTGTGGCCCGGTTCCTAACAGGTCACTACCAGTCCGTGGCCCAGAGGCTGGAGACCCCTGCCATATAGTGTTGGTGAGACCAGGGAAATGAAACTGAACTGATTTGGTCAACTATGAATAAATGAAACAAGAAAACTACATACAAAGCAATAATATATGTAACTAATTCATCCGAGTAAACTGTGAAATACCTAAATTCTGTCATCAATACTTTTTTTTTGTCTACTAGGCCAAAATACAAATCTTAAAGACAACACCCACCATGTAACTGTATTTATAAATATTAAGTGAGTACAAATGATGAACATCATAATCACGAGAATCTTTCCTTTCAGAATATCAACAGATGTTAAACTGTCATCTCTTCTAACAGTGAGTAATTTAAGGGTCTGTACCATTCTGCATCCTCAAAGAACACTTAAGTAATCAAGGTCACAAACTACCTTGACCAAATCATGATCAGAGTAACAAGCCAACTTCACATACTCTCCTGGAACGGCGCCTCATCCTCTTCTTCTTGTTCTTCTTCACTGCCTACATCTTCCATGAGCATTTCTCTCTGTTTAGAAGCTGCTTTAGAGGCTGCCTGCCGTTGTTGGCGCACATTTTTATGATCTTCTTTTTCATCTTCACTGTCCTCTGAAATATCAAAATTATGATGCAATAATCCAAGAGCTGTGTGTCTACTTGACAGCCAACTAGAAAAGCCAATGCAGTGGCCAATACAAGATATATCTTGCAGCTTTATTTCATTAAAAAAGGATAAAGTTTACCCTGAAAAATTCCTACAAAAGAGGAACTAAAATTCAAAGAACAAGATTATGTATCCCACTTTTACATATAAAACCTAGGCATGTAGTTTTAATAATGAAGCTGAATTTAGTTGCGAATACATGCTTCCTATAACACTTTAAATTTCTCTCTCATTGCTTTGCCCTGAAATTCTCAAATACATTCAAATCCATGGTCACAGTTTTCAAAAACTAAAGTTAATAAATATTTATAAGTAGTAGATAAAGGGAAGACTGCCTTTTAATTATATTTATTCCAAGATACAAAACGTGTAGACCTGAAAATTATGCAAAACTACTATCCTTTTCAATGAGTGACGTGTGGCCACTTTAATTGAGACAGGATTAAGGGAAATCTTTAAGCACATATTTATATCAATTAGATCTTAATACAAGTTTATAAAAAAATTACTTTCATATATTATAGTCTGTCAATTAAAAAAAATTTTTCAACAGAGTTGTATTTGTGGATAAAGCTGGTTAAAGGGCAGGCTGCCAGTCTTCTGGCTCTAGATCAAGGTAATTTGTATTAGTCTCTACCTATAGTCCTTTTCCTGGACTTGAGGATCCTTTATTCTGTTAGTTTAGCTGTTACTCTTCTGGAAACACTCGTAGTCCTATAAACCTTGCCATGATCAGTGTTCATCACTTTCACTTCCAAAAACCTCATCTAGAGACAAGTAGACACAGGGAATGAAGCTGATTTTGGTAAACTCAAAACTAAATCCACCTGATAGGAGCTATGCTTAATACTAGCATAGAGTTATTTATCTTGAAGTGCTCAATAAACTAATGTAAGATTCAAATTAAGGGGCACAAGGCAGATGAATAAAGGCGCATTTTATCATAACTTCTCTAGACAGTGTAAAATATTAAAATAATCACTTTTCAATTTCAACAGTCAGATAGTGGACATGAAAAGGAAAGCAAAACAGCTCAGTGGAATGGATTCAGTGGAACTGTGTCTACCCTCTACATATTAGCTAAACAGCAATCTTGTTTGTAAAGGGACATCTAGAAAGGCATACAGGGGACAATAAGTCAAAATGAAGTGGTTAGGAGCAATACGAAATAAACTCTCAATTCTTAGAAGAGTTAAAACAAACAAGCAAACAAACAAATAAATAAATACCAACAATAAGTAATCAAGATTACTATATTATTTGGTCATGGAGTGTCCTCATCAATTCTTTTAAGTTAAAAAATTCTTACAAAAAAAGGTTTCTTTATGGCTACTGCTTCAAAAGATTACTTCTCAGCTAAAAAAAGTAGGATTGAAATGAATCTTTGTTTGCTTTTCAACCCAGAGTTGATCACTCCCCTTTTTATCCTTCTATTTTGCTTAGTATTATACATGTTCTTATTATTTGCTTTAATTTGATGTCTTTTATTTGTTCATATAAATGGTTTTCAATCTTGACTATGTATGAGAATAATCTGTAAAAACTTAAAAGAAAACTCCCCCAAAACCCTACAAAGCCCCAATGTCCCACCTAGAGCTACTCAATCAGAAATCCTGGGGTGGAAAGGTGCATAAATATGTTTTAAAAAACCTTCACAGGTGACTGTTATAAAACACCAGGACTGAGAATCACTACAAGCTCTTCAAAAATGGAAACATCTTTGTAATGCCAGTATTTATAACAGTGCCAGGCATTATAATAAAACCGCTTATTAAAAGTCCAATGAATAAATACATAAAGGAAATCATATCTACTACATTAAAATTGTTTACTACCTGCTGAGTGAGAATCATCCTTCTTGGTCT